AAATAAATAAATAATAAAAAAAAATTCAAGCTGCCCCCTAGTCTCAAATACCCCTTTTTTGGATTGTGCTTAAGAAAATGGTGTCTGTGCAGATGCAGATATTCTGGAGAATGCCAATTATCTCAACAATTTTCAGTTTAGGTTCAGACCTGATTTGGAAACAGAATCCATCATTATCATTCTGACAGACACCCTACAGACAGTGAAAGTGTGACTTTTGATCCTGCTAGACCTCTTAGTTGCTTTTGATGCCATCAATCATAGTATTCTCTTGACTGTCTCTATCAGCATAAGATTGGGGCCATTGTGTTACAGTGATTTCTCTCCTGCATGTGTAGATTGTCTAATACAACAGTATTGGCTCACTGTCCCTTTGCAACCTCACAGCTGTGAGGAAGTTTGAGGCCAGGTGTCAATATACTGATGATTGTCAATGCTATTTCTCCCTAATATCTGAGTCAGTAGGGGCAAATAACATATTTTAAACCAGTAGTAAATATTGGGTGGAAGGCAATAATTGAGATTAAATCCTGGAAAGGCTAGAACCTTATGGGTGGTGGTTCCTAGACAGAGAAACCAGGAAATCTGAACAGGGTTGTACATGAAGAATAAATATATAGCTTTGGGGCACTCCTAGGATCATCACTGTCACTGGAGGCCTAAGCAAGCTCTGTAACCAGGAACACCTTGTACTAGCTGTGATTGGTATACAACTTATATTCTTTCCTGGAAAGGGCCAGCCTAGCTGCTGCTATTTATGCATTGGTGATGTCTTGTTTAGACTATCAAAATGTGCTCTGTGTGGCGCTGCCCTTGTGTTTCATCTGGAAACTGGAGCTGGTAGCAGAATGGGATACCAGGGCTTAGCCAGGCTTCACCACTGTTGAAGCAATTGTAGTGGCTGCTACCAGCTGAAAGGGTTTGCTTGTGACATGGAAGGCTCTAAGCAACCTGGGACCAGGATAATTGATAGATTATTCTCACCACTTGATCGTTAAGATCATCAGGGAAGGTCCTGCTGCGTGTGTCAAGATTGCCTGAGTGCCATCTTGTGGTTAATAGTGGCCAGGCCTCGTCTGTGGTTGATGTGAACTCTGGAAAGTTCCCTCTGATATTTGTAAGGTGCCTCTTTGTTTTCCTTCTTCTCGCATACATTTTATTTATTTATGCATGCATGCATGCCTTCAAGTCAGTCTTAATTCCTGGTGACTGCTTGGACTATGTTTTCAGCTACCAAATGTTTGAGCTAGACATTTTTGGCTGTTCACTAGTGTGGCTTGATTTTATTGTTATTTTGTTGTATGGGGCTTTATTATGCACTGTGGTATGTAAATTGGAAGTGAAGTATTTTCATCACATTGAGTCACTGATATCGAAGCTGGTTAAATTAACTCAATCTTACTCTTTGTGGTGAAGGACTGCCCCACTTCAACAAGGCACTTCAGGGGATCCCTTTCAGTGAAGCTTTATTGAAGGAGATGTTCTCTTGAAGTTTTGCACAGCTGTAATTATGTAAGGCCCCTTAGGCTTTTGCTCTTAAAGGCGAGTGGGATGTTTTTTAAACAAATAAATGTGGTGTCTCTTATCAAGGAGATACACTAAGGGAGATCTGTCAGTTGATTAACCACTTGCTCCCCATCACATCTAACCAAACACTCAGACTTAATTATAACTGTGTTTTTGAGAACTGCTTGAAAGAGCAGCATTTCTGATTTGTGAATAGGCAACATGCCAAGGCTTTCCCATGTTACAGTTTTCATCACAAGAGTGGCATGGGGAAGGATGCTCACTAATGATAGTATAACCTCTATAATGGTTTAGCAATTTCCAGTCTAAGTTTTGGTCTCTGTTATGGGAAGGAGGAAATTATTTTATATTTGTTGTTTTAAAGAAAATATGAGAGAAAATGGTGCATCATGTTCCTTGGTGGGGTGGAGTGGACAGGGAGTTGAAAAAGAGTAAAATATAGATACATCTGTGTCAAAAAGAAAGTGTGAAGGTTTGTCATGTCTGATGCCTGGCTTTCAATCCTATTGAATTTTTTTCCCCCTATATGCTACTTGGCTGTGGTAAGGTATTTGTAATTTTGGCTGAGTCTTCTCTCTCTTTGCATTATATTCAGGTGTTTGTGTGGAAACTGTCAGCCAGTGGCCATCTGAAATTACCCAGCTACAACAGTTCATTGGCAAACTGGAATGTAAGGTGGGCCAGCAAATGAAACTGAAAAATTGATAAAATTGAGAACTTCATCTTGAAGCATTTTCCCATGACATTGATAATTGTTTAAAGTATTTGGAATCTGGTCAAAACACAGCTCAAGAACTCAACACACAGTTTACATGTACTTCACTTCTTTTTCCAGTCCTGGTATTCTTTTGATATACCCTGTGAGCATCAAATGTAGTAATTAGGTTGCCTCTGGTAACCCACACCTAGCTTCATGTCACAAATTTTCCTACTACTGGAACCTAAAAACTCCTCAGAGATGCTTGAAAGGTTGATTAATTTTTGTACTTAGTTTCTGTTCTTAACTAGAATTTAAAGTCATATTTGGATCAACTTTTAAGAATTACCATCTTCAGTCAAGAAATCCTGGGAAATGCCTATAATAAAATATCAAGGCTAGGTCACAAAGAAATGTTCATGAAACCAATTTTTAAAATAGCTGATAGACTCAAAAGCAACCAGAATTGAAACCAGGCAAGTTTCAAACATCTATGGATGGCCAGTATGTTCAGACGTAATCTCTGAGACATGGAGGAGATATGCATAAAGAATGCCCACCTAAGAGGTGAAGTACTGTATATTTTAAGGACAACTGGGAGTGAAATTTTAAATCAGGTTGTATCAAAATGGTTTTGATTGCAATTCCCAGGATTGTCCATGGGTGAAGAAGTCTTGCAGTGTACGGAATTATTTATGCAGCTATATGTCTCTAGTAATGTATAAACAATACATTATATTCAATGTGAAATAAGGGATGAATGATTCTTACAATGCCAGTTAAGGTTCACACTGGTTTACATACAAGGTGTTTATCCTGATACAGATTTCCATAACTAGGAAGGGATGCATACTAACACTGGTCAGGCTGGAACAACAACAACAACAAAAAATCAACAAAATAATTTATTTCTCTATCCCTTTTCTCTCCTCTTATTATTTCTACCTCCCATTTCATTTCATTTCATTTTTGTTCTGTTTTGTTTCACTCTCTTTTCCTTTCCTCCCTCCCTCCCTGCCTACTAGGCTAACAACTTAGAATCAAATGCCTCTTAATAAAGGTACCATGAGATAACTAAGACTGCATGTGGCTGCAGGTTACTCTCCCCACCATATATTCTTTGATTTGCCTCTAAGATCTCACTTTACAGTTATCCTGGTATCTTAGAACTAATTCACCTGCACAAATATCCCATTCACAAATAGATGAATATATCAACTACCTCCTTTGAAAACAATTGTATTTGATGTGCATAAGTTCTGCTTGTGATGTTTAGTAATTTTGTGTTAATATATGTGTCTGTATCATTTAATCTTGCCTTCACCAGATAAGAATATATATGTGTTGTGTAATTCATTCTCAGACAGAGAACATATAACCCCAAAATACCTGCTAAAATAATAGCTCTTTTATCACTGGACGCTAGTCAAATATCTAGCTTTACCTTTAGCAGTGATCAAAAGTAGAGAATCTCCATGGGAATAGTGTTCCAATCTTATGCTTTGAGTTTATTATTATATAACCAAGTAATTTTCCTGGAATTCTTTACTCCAACATATTTTTATAGTCTTATAGTCAGATCTCTTCCAGACAACCATATTTTCTTCCACCTAGCCCTTCTTAATCCAGTTTAAAACATCTGAGATCACCTAAGCTCTACTCATAATTTGCAGACTTTTTAGATGTCATGAGACCATGAGGATGTTTATGTATTTGCAAATTGAAAGTTTGCAAAAAACAACAACAGCCAGTTAATGTTTTCCTTTTTCAGCCAATAGCTGGCAAAGAGAACTGCTCATCCATAGTGCTCACTTGCTGTCTTTATAAGCAGACCAATAACCGAGAGCCTCATCCCACCCACTCAGGTTTCACCAGGTCTGTGCCTAAACATTCTGCGCTTCTCATTAGCAGAATATACATCTATAGATACATATCCCCCTCTCCTGTGCCTCATGTGCTTTTCTGCATATATTTGTGAACATTTGTCTCTTGTTTTGCAAAAAAATCCCAAAAACAATTTGATAGGAAGCTGGGCAAGAAAATGTGGCTTTTCAAATAAAGAAATAAATGAATTTCCTTAAAACCTTCCTACTTACCATGACAGCAAAGTTATCCTGCCTTTCAAATTCCTAATGCTGGTGTACTAGCAATTCTGCATTTGGACTCCTTTTTCTAACCATGGCTAGACTGTGATACTAGGAGCTGGGAATCAACACAAGCCATGTCAGCCCATCAGTGGCCACAGAGTCTGCTTCTTCAAGCACACGACAAAAATAGGTTGCCATTTCTGTAGTGACATTCACTGCCCTGAAATACATTCAGACTCAGAGCTTTAATGCCGCTGTCACAAAGATATATCTAAATTTCTTACAATTACAAAGCCCTGATTACAATGTTATATGGTCAAGGGTTCATCTCATCTCATTACTGGACTGTAGCTTCATCTGGAAAGGTTCTTGGGAGCAGGGGTGATTGTTATTAGATGCAACCTCAGCTCCCCGCCCCAAGATGTATGATCTCTTATGTATTAAGCAAAACTAAAACTTTATTAAAACTAAAAACATTTAAATAAACGTTTACTTAGCAATAGAAAACAGGGAAATTAAGCATATAAAAGCAGCCTAAATTTCTAAACAGTCCTCAAGATAGGACTATAGTAAAATCCCTGTTCAAATACAGAAAAAGTGAGTACTTCAGACAACTGAATCATTGATAGAGAATGGATGATCTGCCAGCCATATAGTATCATTCTTCCCAACCAAAAAAACATGCTATGCGCAGTTCGGTCATCTTCCTATTTGTTTCTATGTACTGTAAGATAATAGAATCTATACAAAAAACAATCGCTCTTCCAGAACAATAATACAGCACATGACGACAATGAATGAATCAGTGTTGCATTTTGAGCACCGTTTCTTCAATATTTAGCTGAATCCATCTATTTCTTCCTAAAAACGACCTATAGGTATCTAATAAATGTGGGAAAAAACAACTTTTGATTAATTTGTTATAATTTAAAGTTAATAGAAATGTGACAGACAGGTGACAGACTACTTGGAGGATTGCTTAGCCCAGTGTTGTCCAAACTTGGCCACTTTAAGATGAGTGGACTTCAACTCCCAGAATCCCCATGGCTGGCTGGGGAATTCTGGGAGTT